TATAAAATTATTGAAGTGGTGGCTGAAGAGCTCGCTTAGTGGTTAAGAGCACTTGAGGCTCTTTCAGAGGACCTGAGTTCAGTTTCCAGCACCCACATTGGATGGCTTACAACTGCTCATAACGCCAGTTCCAGGGCATCTGATACCCTCTTCTGGCCTCCAAGGGCACCTTCACACACATGCATACATACCCACACAGAGACACACATACATATGAGCAATGAAAAAGAAAATAAATATTTTAAAATGATTTTGATAGTGTGATGGTTAATTTTTCATTGTTAACTTGACTAAAGTTGAGATGACCTAGGAGACATACCTTTGGGCGTGTCTGGGGTAGTTTCGTGAGAGAACCGACTGGGGGCAAAGATAATACCCTAAAGGTGCATGTCCCCTCCTGTGAGTTGGAGTCCTGAATTGACTGAAAAAGAAGAGGTTTGTTAAGTGTCAGTATTCGTCATCTCAGCTTCTGGGCTGTGGATGCAGTGTGGCTAGCTTCCTCATGTTCCCACCACCATGCCTTCCCCACCCTGGTGGACTCATTCCCTCAAACTCTGAGCCAAATATTTTCTCACAACAAGAAAAGTAACTAATACAGGCAACTATAAAATAAGCCTGGAAAGATTGATTTTTGTCAACATTAGAAAGAAAATGGACTGTTGATGTGACAGTGGTGTGGTGAAGAGGGGTGTGTGCAGGAAAGGAACAGGGAAAGACACAAGGCCAGTGGAAGAAGAGTGAGGGCAGCAGGTGGAAATGGGAGCATAGCAAGCAGTGTGGCACCAGGAAGAGTGCTTGAAACATGGTTTACATTAATATGAGACCTGTGTGAGATGAATGTAAGAGTTTATCTTGCCTTTTCAAATATTCAGTAAGCATTTAGAGTGCCTTCTTGTTATGGGAACTGTATTAGGCACTTAGGTTGACTAAGTTATTGCTCCCACTTTCAAAGAGTTGACCACCTCAAGGGAGAGGTAGATTAAATGAACAGTGAGAAACAGTTCAAGGGTGTATGTAGTTCTGTACTAGCCTATACAAAGGTTCATTACCTTCTTGCAGATTACCAAAAAAGGTTTCCTTTTTCAAGATACTTTCTTCCATCTATACTTTAATTGTTGGACTAAGTACAGATTTCTGTTGTCTCTGACTTAAAACATGTATGACTAGATGCAGAACCCTCCTAAGAAATATGCATTGATGTTCATCATAAGAGTGATGGATGATCTGAGCATGGATAGAGCAATTCTATACCAACTGTAGGATCAGGTCTTCTGTTTATTAAATCTATATATCCCTTTAGGTAGTGCATTTTACCACTATTAAGTCTTCTAGCCTATGCATACAAGATGTCTTTCTTAGTTTGTTTTATAATGTCTTATAGTTTTCCATGTAAGTTTATAATCGTCCTCATAAATGTGGTTGGTTTGGGTTGTCTTTGTTTATAATAAGCATCTTATACAGTTTGATATTAAGTTGCTGTTTTTATATTTTTTAATTT